GGCATACTCTCAATTATCGACAGGGAATGACACAAATGTGAGCTGAAGGCAAGAAGGTATTGTATACACCTTAGCATCAGCCCAGGGGTCAGCTGGACCCGCCACCATTGACTCGCTGAGAGAGAAGCATGTCTTGACACAAGACACAAATTCTTTATTACTCCCCTGTTGTGTTACCTACCTGCGTGGTGGCCAAGGAAAATCTGACACAGTTCCCGGAGATGACAAGAAATTATGCCTGTGAACACGTAATTTGTTTGGTCTCAGATTTTTCCCTTGCTCACTGACACAGACAGACCAATCTCTGCTGATGTGGGGAGGCACATATGCATAACAAGCTTTTGTAAAAGCTGATTAATTCAGGTCTGTGACTGTTTTTTTTCTGTTTCTGGACAGCAGCAGGGAAGAAGTTAATGGTCCTCTGCTTGCTTGTAATATTTCTGTCACTGCTATTGAACCCTGCAATTCCTGAGTGTTTTCTGGTGAATTTGCTTCTCAGCAATACTTGCTTGGTAGAATCCCTTTGGTCGTTTTATTTTTGGGTTTGATCTTGCTTACTCTCACTATTATAATTGCATGTCCTCTTTTGGGTCAAAAGCACCTTCTTATCTGCCATTTCATGGTATAAATGTCATGAAATTTTCTCATTCAAAGTGAATTAGTCAGGAGGAGGAAGCAGATATATTGGTAAGGTAAAAGTAAACATTTAATGCCACTATAGTTTGATTTTTTTTTCCAGACATCATATTTTTGACAATGTTTCACACCTCAGATACCACAAAAAGGATATTTTTTAGCCAGCAAACAATAAACTTTACAATTTTAATGGCAAAAGGCTCAATGCATTTGTTGACCAACTTGAAAATGGCTGTGACTTTCCACATTTTGAATTTATCCTCATGCTGTTCTTTCTTTTTTTTGCCCCATAAAATTTAGTTGATAAAATATATATATCTACTACTGATACATCCTCTTCTGGAACTACCCACTGGTGGGACCAGCATAAGTTCTATATCTATCAGTTTCTCTCCTCCTTAGCCCTATTTTATATCACTGTTAAAATGAGAAAGAACATAGCCACGGACAGAGTGAAATGGATTTAGCAAACATACACTTCAATGCATAGCACTTAGATAAGCATTTCCAACCATCATGTGTAAATAAATTATAAAATACAAGCAACTCTATAAAACAAGAACATCCTGAGTTTACAAATAAATTATATCCTTCATACATAGAATATGATGTGGATGTTAGTAACCAGCAGTTTCAGCTATGGGAGGGAAAGAAGTAAAACGTAGAAAAGTTAGTATCTATGCATACATAAAACATATATGTATGTGTGCTACATGTAAATACTCACACACATACATATACAATATAGAGGGTGAATACATCCATATCTATATTTTATAGAGAATATGTAACGTAGCTGAAACTGCCTCAAGCACCAATTTATTACCATTATTATAAAGTTTGCTCAATACTTAAGTACGACCACTCAAAGTAAGATGGTTTGGGTTGTGTTTCATTTGCTGTCCAGGAGCGTTTGAAGGTAGTTTGAAATATTATATCTGAATGCTACTATTTCACTTTCATCACCTGCATTCTTTGCAGAATCATCATGCCCTTTGTGAGCGTCAATATGTTGCATAAGTAAGCATGAGACTGCTGCTTATAAAGCTGGTGGCAAAATCCATACTGACTTCAACTGGTTTAGTAAAAGACTGCTACATTTTCAGGGAAAAGAGATTTTT